TACAATGACGACCCTCTACTCCCAATAGAAGCGGAGATATCGACGGATGAAGGCTGGATATCGACGGAGAAAGGTTAGAAAACTTTAACCTTCGATATCTCCTAAACGGTTAGAGATACAGGCTTCGGACAGGTACCAAATTAAAGCCCTTTCAAAACCCTACATTTTGGACTACATGGACGACCCTCTACTCCCAATAGAAGCGGAGATATCGACGAATGAAGGCTGGATATCGACGGAGAAAGGTTAGAAAACTTTAACCTTCGATATCTCCTAAACGGTTAGAGATACAGGCTTCGGACAGGTACCAAATTAAAGCCCTTTCAAAACCCTACATTTTGGACTACAATGACGACCCTCTACTCCCAATAGAATCGGAGATATCGACGGATGAAGGCTGGATATCGACGGAGAAAGGTTAGAAAACTTTAACCTTCGATATCTCCTAAACGGTTAGAGATACAGGCTTCGGACAGGTACCAAATTAAAGCCCTTTCAAAACCCTACATTTTGGACTACAATGACGACCCTCTACTCCCAATAGAAGCGGAGATATCGACGGATGAAGGCTGGATATCGACGGAGAAAGGTTAGAAAACTTTAACCTTCGATATCTCCTAAACGGTTAGAGATACAGGCTTCGGACAGGTACCAAATTAAAGCCCTTTCAAAACCCTACATTTTGGACTACAATGACGACCCTCTACTCCCAATAGAAGCGGAGATATCGACGGATGAAGGCTGGATATCGACGGAGAAAGGTTAGAAAACTTTAACCTTCGATATCTCCTAAACGGTTAGAGATACAGGCTTCGGACAGGTACCAAATTAAAGCCCTTTCAAAACCCTACATTTTGGACTACATGGACGACCTCTACTCCCAGTAGAAAGCGAGATTATCGACGGAGAAAGGTTGGAAAACTTTAACCTTCGATATCTCCTAAACGGTTAGAGATACAGGCTTCGGACAGGTACCAAATTAAAGCCCTTTCAAAACCCTACATTTTGGACTACATGGACGACCTCTACTCCCAGTAGAAGCGGAGATATCGACGGATGAAGCTGGATATCGACGGAGAAAGGTTGGAAAACTTTAACCTTCGATATCTCCTAAACGGCTAGAGATACAGGCTTCGGACAGGTACCAAATTAAAGCCCTTTCAAAACCCTACATTTTGCACTACATGGACGACTCTCTACTCCCAGTAGAAGCGGAGATATCGACGGAGAAAGGTTGGAAAACTTTAACCTTCGATATCTCCTAAACGGTTAGAGATACAGGCTTCGGACAGGTACCAAATTAAAGCCCTTTCAAAACCCTACATTTTGGACTACATGGACGACTCTCTACTCCCAGTAGAAGCGGAGATATCGACGGATGAAGGCTGGATATCGACGGAGAAAGGGTTGGAAAACTTTAACCTTCGATATCTCCTAAACGGTAGAGATACAGGCTTCGGACAGGTACCAAATTAAAGCCCTTTCAAAAACCCTACATTTTGCACTACATGGACGACTCTCTACTCCCAGTAGAAGCGGAGATATCGACGGATGAAGACTGGATATCGACGGAGAAAAGGTTGGAAAACTTTAACCTTCGATATCTCCTAAACGGTTAGAGATACAGGCTTCGGACAGGTACCAAATTAAAGCCCTTTCAAAACCCTACATTTTGGACTACATGGACGACTCTCTACTCCCAGTAGAAGCGGAGATATCGACGGATGAAGACTGGATATCGACGGAGAAAGGTTGGAAAACTTTAACCTTCGATATCTCCTAAACGCTTAGAGATACAGGCTTCGGACAGGTACCAAATTAAAGCCCTTTCAAAACCCTACATTTTGGACTACATGGACGACTCTCTACTCCCAGTAGAAGCGGAGATATCGACGGATGAAGACTGGATATCGACGGAGAAAGGTTGGAAAATTTTAACTTCGATATCTCCTAAACGGTTAGAGATACAGGCTTTGGACAGGTACCAAATTAAAGCCCTTTCAAAACCCTACATTTTGGACTACATGGACGACTCTCTACTCCCAGTAGAAGCGGAGATATCGACGGATGAAGACTGGATATCGACGGAGAAAGGTTGGAAAACTTTAACCTTCGATATCTCCTAAACGCTTAGAGATACAGGCTTCGGACAGGTACCAAATTAAAGCCCTTTCAAAACCCTACATTTTGCACTACATGGACGACTCTCTACTCCCAGTAGAAGCGGAGATATCGACGGAGAAAGGTTGGGAAAACTTTAACCTTCGATATCTCCTAAACGGTTAGAGATACAGGCTTCGGACAGGTACCAAATTAAAGCCCTTTCAAAACCCTACATTTTGGACTACATGGACGACTCTCTACTCCCAGTAGAAGCGGAGATATCGACGGATGAAGCTGGATATCGACGGAGAAAGGTGGAAACTTTAACCTTCGATATCTCCTAAACGGTTAGAGATACAGGCTTCGGACAGGTACCAAATTAAAGCCCTTTCAAAACCCTACATTTTGGACTACATGGACGACTCTCTACTCCCAGTAGAAGCGGAGATATCGACGAATGAAGCTGGATATCGACGGAGAAAGGTTGGAAACTTTAACCTTCGATATCTCCTAAACGGTTAGAGATACAGGCTTCGGACAGGTACCAAATTAAAGCCCTTTCAAAACCCTACATTTTGGACTACATGGACGACTCTCTACTCCCAGTAGAAGCGGAGATATCGACGGATGAAGGCTGGATATCGACGGAGAAAGGTGGAAAACTTTAACCTTCGATATCTCCTAAACGGTTAGAGATACAGGCTTCGGACAGGTACCAAATTAAAGCCCTTCCAAAACCCTACATTTTGCACTACATGGACGACTCTCTACTCCCAGTAGAAGCGGAGATATCGACGGAGAAAAGGTTGGAAACTTTAACCTTCGATATCTCCTAAACGGTTAGAGATACAGGCTTCGGACAGGTACCAAATTAAAGCCCTTTCAAAACCCTACATTTTGGACTACATGGACGACTCTCTACTCCCAGTAGAAGCGGAGATATCGACGGATGAAGGTTGGATATCGACAGAGAAAGGCTGGAAAACTTTAACCTTCGATATCTCCTAAACGGTTAGAGATACAGGCTTCGGACAGGTACCAAATTAAAGCCCTTTCAAAACCCTACATTTTGGACTACATGGACGACTCTCTACTCCCTGTAGAAGCGGAGATATCGACGGATGAATACTGGATATCGACGGAGAAAGGTTGGAAAACTTTAACCTTCGATATCTCCTAAACGGTTAGAGATACAGGCTTCGGACTGGTACCAAATTAAAGCCCTTTCAAGACCCTACATTTTGGACTTCATGGACGACTCTCTACTCCCAGTAGAAGCGGAGATATCGACGGAGGAAGGCTGGATATCGACGGAGAATGGCTGGTAAATCTGTTTTAAAAACAGAACTGTTTTTAAAACTTATCTGGAACTATAGAACTTAAAAATCTATGTAGAACTCTAAAAAAATTATCATTTTTTATATAATGAGGGGCATCGTGAAGTTGGCCCTCCGATTTTTAAAATGGTATTTTCTCTACTTTAAATGACGGAACTCTTTCTATAAAGGATTGCGAACTCTAGATCTCTGCGACGGGCATTCAGAACTCTAAATTTTTTTTCAAATTTGAAGAATGAAGGGCCATCTTCACAGAAGTGATGGAGCGAACACATTCTCGGTCTTTCTTTTGCTTGGCTCGTCGAAACAAGTCGAGCGGAGGGCGGGGTTTCAGAGGAAATGTCATCGACGAAACGTGCAATGCTTGCGATGCCCGTGTGTTGTATGCAATAAGTGCATTTTCTTAAAAAATGAAAAAAAATTTATTGCGTTACACGTATGTTGTATGCAACACGTGCATTTTCCTAAGAAACGAAAAAAAAAAGATTGGCGAAAAAGGACAATGCCGACCGCCAAGGAGATGCGAACCACCGACCTCAACCCCGCGAGTCCAGTGTACTTCCACCAAGCCACACGCTCTTTGAGTTCATGGAACACTCGCGATTTTCAATCGCTACGTTCTTGCAAACGCTTCAATGTTACGCCGTATCTTTAAGTGCAATGTTAATTTGTCATGCAAATCTATCGACACAACGAGTTTAGTCGAAATCGATTGCTTTTGATCATCTCGTTGAATTCACGCTGAGAGTGAAACGTCAGTCTCGGCCGTGTGTCTGGAAACACAATCTCGGCAACGTTGCGAATCAGAACGAGTTGGAGAGAACACATTCCCTCTCTCTCTCTCTTTCGCTTGGCTCGTCAAAACAAGCCGAGCGGTGGGAGGGACTTCAGATGGATAGACGGGAGCAGTTTCTCTGTGTGTGTGTGCCGACTACATTCTTACATAGAAACGTACGGCAATTGAACATGTTTAAGCATATACCCTGAGATTCTATCTGTTGCGTATGACACGTGTGTGTGTGTGTGTGTGTGTATATGCACACGTACGTCACGCACACTTTCAATGCAACACATGCACACGGACACAACTGCGCTAAAAAACGCCTGCCGGAGTATAAATAAATACTAACGTAACGCTGAAATATTTTGGAAAAATAATTTTGGGTACACACAAAATATTATTATCATATATTTATATATCGATATAAATCGTATATAATCTTCATGATATTAATCATATGCAATCTCAATTCTTATTTTTTTTGTGCATGTTAACATGTTAATTCATGTTACAAATGCATAACAATGCGCGAGACCGTGCTTGTCAAGTACGCTATTATGGTTGTAGCACGGACATAAACCGCCTGAAAGTGGATGTAGCACGGACAGCCACCAGATGCAGGTTTTACCGTCGAGACCTAAAAGTGGATGTAGCATCGTAGTTCCCCTCTCAAAATGAATGCAGATAGCGCCTATTCCCAGTGCGAAAAATTGGTGTCGCCGAAAACGCCGTGTTGGCCGCTCTCAGCTTCCTCTCTGGTATCACACTGGCACGATATTACCGACTAATCATAGAGGAGCAACTCTTCATTCCATTCCTCGTTTATTTTGGCACGACTGATTGTTTATTTTATCGTTATCAATAGCGTTATCAACGTAACGTGCTTATTAGATATTAGCAACATCAAAAAAATATTAGATTTGTATAATTAGGTAGAACATTTACTTTACTAAAGAGAATGTCAGAAGTTTACGGTATCAATTACGACGAGGTAATATTAATTACACACAAAATAATACATTTGTAAATACATATGACTATATATTTTATAATTTTATCAAAACTTTTATTACTGTTTTTATAAATAAGTTAGTAATAAGTTAATTAACATGATTTAATTAATAAATCTAGCTTTTATTTTTTAATAGCAACTTGTTGAAAAGCCTTTGTCCTATTCATATGTCACATGAATTAATAGAATGATATTATATTTACATATAAACAAAGAGTATCTATACACAATGTAGCACATAGAATAGAATAATTAGAATATAATTTGAATTCTATTTACCAATTATTTTAATAACATTGATTTTTTACATAGGAGCACCCAAGAAATCTTATACCAAAATTATGCAGGCAGTTCTATCAACTCGGATGGGTGACTGGTACAGGTGGTGGTATATCTATAAAACATGAGTTAGTATCTGCAATAAAGATGGTTTCGTAAAAAAGTTATGTTATTTTTGTAAAAGTACTACTGTAAATGTAATAATTAACATTATTGAACATTTTATTGTGCAGGGATAAAATTTATATAGCTCCTTCTGGTGTACAAAAAGAACGTATGTTGCCCAATGATATGTTTGTCCAAGATATAAATGGAACAGATCTAGAACTACCACCACCAGAAAAGAAACTGAAAAAGTCACAATGCACTCCACTATTTATGTGTGCTTATTTAAGAAGAAATGCAGGTGCTGTGATACATACACATTCTAAATATGCTGTGATGGCGACTCTATTGTGGCTTGGAAAAGAAGTCAGGCTAACCCACCTTGAGATGATAAAAGGTATGCATATTGGAAATTCTCCCATTTATATATAAATATATGATAGTATGAACAAAGTATATTGATATTCTATTTAATGCATCAAACTTTAAAGAGAATTTTCTATTTGGAAAATTGTATAAAAAAAAATTGAAATATAAGCAAGACATATAAACAGTTTCATTAATGTAGGAATATGGAATCAGAAAGAGGGTAGACCATATCGCTATGATGAGGAATTGGTAATTCCCATTATAGAAAATACACCTTTTGAGAGAGATTTGAGGGATAACTTAGATGAGATTATTGTTCGTTATCCTAAAACTTGTGCGGTGTTGGTACGCAGACATGGAATTTATGTGTGGGGTGATTCTTGGCAACAGGCAAAAACTATGTAAATCATGCGTTTTTATTCAGATTTTCTCAGTCACTTTTATGTTGTAGCATAATATTTCCTTTGTTTTAAATTCCGTATTGTCCACAGGACTGAATGTTACGACTACTTGCTGGACATTGCAGTTCAGATGAAACAATGTGGACTAGATCCATTACTAACTCCAAGTAATCATGAATTAAAATACCAGGCGAATAGTATATCAGAATAGTCAACGATTTTAGTACAAAACTAATTTTTCCGGATAATCTGTGCCATAAATATATGTATATCTAAGCTATATACATATATACTAGAGATTATATACATATTTATATATAAAAATCAAGGTAAAAATAAATAACGGTTATAATATTTTAAGTATATATACATTATCTTTTAATAAAAAGCAGAGAAATTTTTCAAGTATCTATATCAAATGGGGTAAATTGTCTCCTAATTTTCTTTGCTAGCTCAACTTCTTCATCTTGACTCATATGACAATCCTTCCAATCGGACCTGTCATTGATATCCAATATCCTGTCGGATGCTAATACTTCTCTACCGAATTGCAGTGGGAAATCTTTCTTAATTCTATAGTATAACATTTCTCCGCTCGGTAGTTCTGCATAAAAATATAAGACGCCAGGTTTTGCTATTTGCTGCAGATCCGTGTGTGGTGGTAATTCCAAAATTTTAAAATTATTACATTCGGCCAATTCCTAAAAGCAAAAATGACGCATATTATATAACAAATAGTATACACGATGTTCGTAGGTATTTTGAAAATATAAAAATAAAAAATACTTAAACCCAATTAAGTAATGTCGGAAAAGTATATCGAATTAAAAAACAAATATTAATAAATTACTTATTGACTGACTTAATATGTATTTGTTGTGAAGAAAAAAAAATAAAAAAGGGAATTACCTCAAACATCTCCTTCAGTGCAGGTGCTTGATTTTTATGAACAGGCACTGTTTGTAGTTGACAGTGAGAAGTTTTGAAATTTCTCTCGAAAAATACAGGTACTCTATCTGTGCTCTCATAATACTTGGTTACTGCCTTTTTATACAGATCCATCTCCTCCTTTACGTTTTTCGGTAGAATTGATAGACTCTGATGATGTGTTATTGGCAAAATCAGGAGATGGTCTTCCACCAGACCACCTTTAGCTAATGCCAAATAGATCTCCGTGCCAACCGATATGACCAGATGCTTGGATACTGCTGGGCTTGACAAGCAGAACCAGCACTTTGATTGATCAAATTCCAACTTTGGCCTCTTATTGGGACCATTATTCTGGTGCCGTGATCTTTTTTCGCTCTCCTTCGAGTCCATGTCATAGAAAAATTGCATGTGACTCTGCTTTTGTGACGTAGGATCGTTAGACAGTATAGATCTAGGAAAAGGGCTTGGTGTCTCATCTGTGGTCTTCATAACCAAATCAGACAGCCTGGTTCGATCAACAGGAGTCAGATTCAGCGCATATAACCATTTCTTTTTATGAATGTTCATTACCGGCGCCAGAGCAATAAACCTAGTAGCAATTTCTATGTTTCCTTCCCCCTGACTTTGATTTCTGTAATAAAGAAATTTAAATTTAAAGCCATTTACAATAACATTTACATTTAAATTTAGTGCCATTTACATAGCTGTGTTTTCTCAATTGATAAGTTAAGTATTCAACTTAGTAAATTAATAATTATTTACATTCTGTATAATTTCCTATACATTAAGACTGATATTAATAAAATGTTTTTGTCTTACTTTTACACATATTTAAAATTTGTTAGAGTAGAGAAATTTACCTATATGGTGGTCGTTCGTAATATATTCCTTCCAAAGCTGATACATGATATCTAGGTTTGATATGAGTAGTAAGCCAGGCAATTAATTTTGAACCTTGATACTTGCAATTCGGATTATTAGGATCAAGGTTGGTGATGCCTTCAGGCCATGGTGATGTTAACAAGATATCTACTCCACGAAAACTTGGTTGACCCTTTAAACAACTGTTCTGAATGGATACGACATCTTGTTCATTGAAGCATACAGATCTATTCTCATTTGTAACCCCTTCAATTCCACTGAGATATGCTATTTTGAGACCCGAACTGGCGGTATAAAGACCACGTTTACCAAGATAGGTTAGATTTTGGCACATCTCATATCCATCCCCATCAGTATAATGCTTCAAGTCTAATTCCCTATTAGGTCCTATGATATATGTCGGAACTGGGATAGTTTTTTCACAAGATATATAAGGTTGCAACTCAGCATTATCTTTGCCAAAGAAACTGCCGACACATAGTAAAAAGTCAAATGGACCACTTTTCTTATTAATAGCATCTACTTTGGAGAATAGAAAATTAAAATGTCCTTCCACATCCCCACAGATGAGAACTTTTTGCTTATCACTCATATTTATTAACGTGAGCTGTGTAACAAATTTTCCTTTTCTGCTTGGGTCTTTGATCTACAAAGGTTATCAATAATTATATGATAGACTCGTCTTAACGTCATTAGACTATAAAAATGTATATGTATTTTATACATATATTTAAAAAGTAATAAAAAATATTTTCAAGTATATTTTATCCTTTTAATTTTATTTATTTTATGTAACGAAGTATTATGTGAGGATAATATAGATTATCCATAACATATATTTTTAATATATGTATATTTTAAAATACATATCTGTAGAGCTTACCTCAAATGAAGAATCTACTTTCCTTTCCAATTATAATGCAATGATTCTCCAATACTTAGTTTACAAAAATATATCTCAAAGAAATATAACTTTTCCTATTAGTGTATAACGTGTAACATCCAGAGATTATAAACCACCCTCTTGGAAAACGACTGCGACTGACGAATATTTCAGCGCCACAATAATTTATACTCGGACGTGTTCGAACTAAAACAGGTCATGTGACGCGGGGGGGGGTTACGTACTACATTCAAATCTAAGCACGCGTGCTTATTAATATATGAATGTATATCTATGAAGTTTAATATATAAATATGAAATAAAAATATATAAGTATAAAGATAAAATTAGGTACATATTACAACCTTATGTATTTAAATTACCTTTGTAATACTTATATTTTCCTTTTACTGATTTTATTTATTATGTGGATTATATTATCTTGTGGAACAGACATGTGGAAATATTATCTTAAATAGTTGCAATACCTTTTATAATTAAAGTAAGGTAGATTGTAATAACGAAGCATAATTAATGCATCATATTTTTCCGTCCCACTTGCAGACTACGGATTGTTAGCTACATTTTTGCAATATACCCGGTGTGGTTAAAAAAGTATGACGCAGAAAACCGCAATGCATCATATATATCCATTTGCATTTACACACGTAAATTATGAAAAAATCAAATATTTACATATTAACATACATTACTTGAAATACATATGGTCTTAGATAAATTATTTCTCAATATGCAAACAATATAAACGACCAAGGATGCCAATCTTTAATTTCGCAGTTTTTATGCAGAATTGTACGCGCGCATGAGTTTAAATATAGCGCGTATTCCCACTCCGCGTCTCGTGACTTATTTTAGTTCAAACAAATCTGGGTATAGACCATGGTGGCGCTGATAAATTTATCACTCATTGGCTGCGTTCAGCAGAATAAAGTGACCAGTGAGCGCTTAGTGATTCTCGCTCCTGATTGGTAAATACTTCTGGGTCTATGAAGAATCAGCCATTATTGGCCGCGTTCAGCAGAATAAAATGATCAGTGAGCGCTTAGTGATTATTGTCTGTGAGTGGAGCATTCTTTTAGATTCTTCATAGACCCAGAAGTATTTACCAATCAGGAGCGAGAATCATTAAGCGCTCACTGATCATTTTGTTCTTCTGAACGCAGCCATTGGTTGCGTTCAGAAAACAAAACGCTCACTGAGCGCTCAGTAACTATTGGTCCTTATTGTTAGATCCTTACATTCAGACCAATAACGTTGACGAATTACTCAACCGTTGTATAACCGTTGTGTTTTCTGAACGCAGCCATTGATCTATTCTTTTTAGAGGTTAACTGTAAGCGTTAGGGGAAGCACGTGAAAATATTGAAAGTGAAAGAAGAGAAGAGTATTTTGTACGTGGAGCGTACAAAAACTTATGTTACTGTGAAGAAAAGAGAAAGTCACGATATTTGATTAAATTGTAAACTTTATTTATTTCATTATACTTTGCTCTACATTATATTTTCCTGAGTGAGAAATACAATGGAAGGAAAAACTATACAGAAAAATAGTTCCAAACGTAAGACACGCGGTAATGACAATGCACGGAATCGCGCCGATTCAAAGATTTTATATAACAAAAAGTTTTCAACTCCTATGACGAAAAAACGGAAAAATATTTATGACCCAGAAGAGGAAGCTAGGTATTTGCATATAAAAATAAATAATTGTGATCATTCAAGGAAGTTTTTCAGATAATATAATGCATTTCATACACAGGTTGGAAAAGGAAGTCTTTGGTGATCCCAGTGATATAAAGAATTTGCTGAAGAAAGAAGAATCTGTGACAGAAATAAAAGATGATGAATCTGCTGATACTTATTGTGAAAAACAGAGCAATGAAAAAGCTAAATTGAACCATGATGATTCTTCTGTAATAAATGATACTAAAGATGCTAGCCTGAAAGAAAAAGAAGCTGCTTGGATAGATGATGACGATTGTAATTATACGTGAGTATAAAAATATTAAATATTTCTGTCACGGAGATTTCTTATTTAATTATATAATTCTTCATATTATACAGGGTGTTCATTTCAAAACTTTCCAGTTAATTATTTCGAAAACTATGAAAGATATTAAAAAAGCTAAAACACTTGGTGGCCACTCGATAGCTTCTCTTCTTCCAATTCATCTCTGTAGGAATCAATTGTTTAACCATTGTCGAACCGGGAATGGGAAATATCAATGATTTGCATCAAAGAATTGTACAGGAATATAGAGCTATTCCAACAGATACTTTCCAGTGTTTTAGCTTTTTTAATATTTTTCATAGTTTTCGAAATAATTAACTGGAAAGTTTTAAAATGAACATCCTGTATATGCACATAATACATATATTGTTTTATATATACATTTGCTGACAGTGTGGATACAGCTTTGGATGCACAGAATCGCACATTACCATGTAAAAGACCAGAGAAATCATATGCGACATATTTGAAGAATCATTATAAAATATTTGTGGGTACTCCAAAATGGGCTAAACTCGAAGCAACTAATGAATCTGATGATGATTCAGATACCTTAAAGGTACTTTAACATCTACCAAATTTTTGGAAACTTGTAAATATGCATTGAATCTTAACCACTTTTTCTTATTTTTACACAGGGATGTCGTTTTACAGTCAAATCAAAATCTGTGCACTTACCAAAAGATATAATCGACATCAAAGCACTCAAAGCGCTGAATAAGAGTACTCATACAGAAGGTCCTGTTGTCACAAGTGTGGAATTTCATTCAAAATATACAGTTGCACTGGTTGCTGGTGTATCAGGTGTCATTTCCTTTTTCCAGGTACTGAGATTATATAAATTTATTTCATAAATTAAGATGTAATTAGATTATTTGTTTATTATTTACCAATTTTTATATTTATAATTATTGCTGACAAATTGCTTTTTCAGGTTGATGGCCATACAAACAAGAAGATACACAGTGTACTACATGAAAAAAATCCAATTAGTAAAGCAACCTTCATGAGTGGAACGGAAGTTTTGATTGGTTGTCAGCATTCTTCATATTTTGATATTTTTGATTTAATAAAAAAGAAGACTTGTAAAGTACCTCTACCACACGGGATTACGAATATGAAGGTTTATATGAGTATAAATACTAGAAATAATATAATTTTATTAATTGATTAAAATTTCAACATACATTTTCATATTTTCAGCATTTTGAGGTATCTCCTAATTACAATTTCGTAGCATTATGTGGAAGAAGAGGTGAAGTCTCCTTGTTAGATGGTTCTACGAAAGAGCTGATCAGCAGGTTAAATATGAATTCAAAATGCAGAGCACTAGCTTTCACACCAGATAATAGAAACCTTATCACACATGGTGGTAAGTATAGATTTATTAATTTTAACTTAAACTCAAATTGAAATGTCTCATAATATTTCTGAATATTCGTGTTGAATTCTAATTTTATCGTGCAGACGGTGGTGAAATGTACATATGGGATCTGAACAGCCGGACATGCGTTCACCGTGCTATCGATGATGGTTGTTTATCTGGCACTTCAATTGCTATTTCCTCAAACAATCAATTTATAGCAACAGGCAGTTCGCATGGTGTGGTAAATTTATATGAGACAGAAACTGTATTTCAGAAACGAAATCCTATTCCTATGAAAACTATGATGAATCTTGTTACTGGTGTTACAAATTTGAAATTTAATTCCACTAGTGAGATATTGGCGGCAGCATCAAATATGAAGCACAATGCTTTTAAGATGATACATTTGCCATCATATCAAGTATTCTCCAATTTTCCAGGATTTCAAACTAATATAGGTATGCCACAATCGTTAAATTTTTCTCCTGAAAGTGGCTACCTTTCGATTTCAAATAAGACTGGCTCTGCATTGTTATATAGATTACGACATTATGGGAATTATTAATTTCTTAAGAATGTGCAGACATCTTATGAAAAAACTGTATATAAACTGTATATAGACTGTATATAAACTATATATTTTTACTTTATGTATACATGTATCTTTTCTTATTAATAAATTGCATGGAGAAAGATATACTATATAAATAATTTTTCACAGTTATATTTCATTAATATAATGAATATAATGAATACACAATATAGTATCATCTCGTGGCCCTAGATACTGACTATAGTATACGTAATATAAACTATAAATTTTCAATACTGAGCCCTTATTTTCGAAAATTTGTGAAAAATGTATACTTTTTCTATATTTCGTAGCTGTGAAAACGCAGCTCATGTTTTATCATTATACCTATGCAACTTACAATTTAATATATTTGATATTTTTCTGAAAAATATAATAAGAAATATAGAAAATGCAGCTAAAAATAATCTTGTCAGATTTAACATTTGAAGATGATCTAACATTTGAACAGTTTTTTAGCGCCATGCGGTTGGTGGCGAGAAAATTCTTGTTGTTACAAATCTAACCTAGAATATTTCGCTAAGTTATCTAATCCAACTGCTTGAATTGGTGTTTCCTAACCTTATCATTTAAATTGATGCAGTTGTTAAAAGTGTCTAAATATTTATATATTGGTTTGTAGTATAAATGTTTAATTAGTACAACTCTCACAATGGAAGAAAAATCTAGCTATCTTAAAGAAAATAAGGATAACAATACTGACATAGAATCGAAAGTGAGTGAATAAAATGTTTTATTTAAGGAGAATTTAAATATATATTGGTAGTAAGACATTTTATAAGAAATATGAATATTCGTAGGCAATATTAAAGAGAAAACTTCAGATGAAATCTGAAGCACTCATGTTACTAAGTCAGGAGTTGGATCAATGTAGAATACAACGAGATCAATTTAAATTAATGGCTGAACAAATTCAGGAGAGATTTTTGCATTTAAAGAAACAGATGTGTGATACAAAAGAATTGAATAGGTAATTGAGTAAAATTGAACAAATCTGCATTACAGCAAAATTTGCATATAATTTGTCATAAGTTTAAGCGACAAATATTACTGTTTGCAGATGCTATAATTTAGATGACGACTTTAGAACTTTAGATCTGTTAACAGAAGCACGAGAGCAGAATAAATGTCTCAGGCTACAAGTGGAAACACTAAGACAAAAGCTAGGGGATGCTGAGGGTGATATCAAGGCATTACGTATGAATAACAATCGTGTGTCGGTTGAGCAACAAGATACACAACTTGCACCCTCTATGCATCAAAGGGAGGAAATGATAGAACAATTAGAGAAATTAAATTTAAAGGTAAATATTACATAAGGACATATCTGTCAGCCATAAAGCCTATTCAAATTGGTTTATATTCAAGCAGAATATTCTCTACTGGTTTTATAAAATAATAATTTTTATCACAGTGTTCACAACTGCAAACAGATCTGCAAACAGTTTTAGATGAGAAGCATGAGTTAGAAATGGAAAGAGATGCCTTCAAATGTAAGGCACATCGTTTAAATCATGAGCTATCTAAGGCTTTAAATGCCTCCAAGCCAGTCGATTTGGACGCTCTTATCAATGAAAACAGGTAATGAATGATCAACTGGAAGGTAGTTGTTTGAATCTTACAATGTCAACTTTGTAGGTATTTGCAAGAAAGATTACAACAATTGCTTGAGGAGAAGGAACTCACACGCCAGTCCTTGTCAAAGTACAAGGTAGGAGATTATCTCATATGTTACTTTAACTTGTAATTCATTTCTAATATTGAATAAATGTCTACAGAGCATGTTGGATAGCAAACGGACCAAAGGGGCTATTAAATTGGGAGCGAATTCTGCAGTTGGTACAGTAATGACTCACAAGCAAGGTAAAACATTTACATCATCACACGACACATTGTATCTTAAACGTTTAATGTTAAAGACGATATGTTTCTTTCAGTCGAACAACTTCTTCAAGAAAGTTCTTATATACCACCTCAGAAGTCCGCCGCTGCTGTTACCGACCTGCGATGTCTTTGCACAGCTTTGTTGGAGGCCTTGAACGACAAAACTTTAGCTCTGGCGCACCAGAAGAAAGCAAACAAGTAAATAGTTTGGCGTTAGTTGTATTTCGTTGGTCTATAAGTTAACTTACATATGTCGTTTGCAGGATATTGGCATTGAGAATCTGTGAATTGGATAGTGCGGTGCAGTCACCGACTATGAAACTTCTAGAGGGCTACACAAGCGCCAATGTCGATTTGAGATGTGAGTGTGGTGATGTAATTGGCCGAATATTGTTGTTACTTTCCTCAGCGCATTATTTGTCACGAAAATATCATCCTCTTTACAGGCGATGAATTTAACGATTTAGACCACACGAATAATTGCAGCGTGGATAGCATCGAAGAGACAAACATTATAACGAACGAGAGTAATATGCAGTGTAGCTCTTCACCTGAGAATCAGGTTATGCAACAGTTGCAGTCGATACAAATGAGTCTTCCAAAGAACTTGGGCATGTTGGTCCAGAAAGCGTTGAACAACCTGAAGGACAACGACAAACAGAAGATATGAAGTCGAAGTTACACGGTATAGAAAGATATACGTGCCTCCACACGTACATATACGTGTGCATAAATCGTGTCTCTGTAAACGGAGAAATTGAAATATTCTAATGAAAGATTCGTCATCTGGCTTCATTCGGTACTAGTCAAGCGTGAATCTAGTTGGTTCCGCACGGTATCGCACTCGTTGGAAAACGTTGAACTCGATGTGACGATTGATTCGTTGTTCTTGATGTGACGTGAAAACGCTACTTAATATTTTTATCGAATTAGCAGTCAATTCAGCGATCTCAAGAGATTTTGATAGATACGGGTTTTCACGAAGCGGAGGAGTTGTGTTTTTCTTACACGATGTCGATTATAACTGTTGATTTGACATATCATTTATGTGTAGGACATAGCTATAGTATCCTAATAGCTAGGCTGACAATAGGACGGTCGTACTGAGTGAAGACGTTCCCGCCAATGCTTTTTGTGCAAGACACTGTTCAAGCAATCCAACCATAGGTTGAATCTCGCACTGGGTCTTTCCGTGAGAATCGCCGGCGTCGGGCCCGCTGACCTCTTCGGTTGATAATGAGATGCATCTTCTCTACAAATGAAAATATGCATGTACATTGTTATCGCGGTTATTATCAGATCAATATGCCGCGCTATATCCCTTACACGATATATTGGTATGGCAGAAAAAGGTTGTTTCTCATTTCTTTAGTTTTTAGTTAAAAGTCGAGAGGTGAAAACCGAAGAAATGGAAATCGGCTCCTTTCTCTCGAGACGTGGGCTCGGTGAATTTACATTATTAACTTGGCTCTCCTCGATTTCATATCCTTCTGTCGTTTCCAAGCATCGAACGCCTGGGCGTTCATGACACGCCTTTCCTCGATTTCTCTCTGCAACATGTCCATTTGATGAATCGTCTGTAGTCGTTTAACGAGCGTCTCTGTTCTCTGTTGAGTCTCTTTGTCCCTCAAGATCCGAGCGTACGCCTGGACAGAGAGAAAGGAGAGAGGCGTTTGGACAAATTGCACTGAACGACGAAAATAACAAACAGAATGTACTCGCTTCTTGAGACACCTTCTTGCGTTCAATTTCACATATTTTCTCCCGTAATTCCTGTTGTTTTCTCTTTTCCGCTTCTTTCAGCAGTCCCCTGTAAATCAGATTCTTCCCCTGTTTCCAGGTATCAAAGGACAATCTTCTTCTCAGCTGTTTAGCCAGTTCTCTGAATGACATACATTTTTAATGACAGATTAAAAAACTAAATTTTGCACCTCACACGTGCAATGTTCTCAATTCTGTAAAATTCGCAGATTTCTCTTATGTATGCGCAATAACCCGTCATCATGCTTCTTGACTGGAATCTCCATAGTATTCTCCAGCTTTTTCTTCATTTTCGCTGCCTGCGCCGGGTTGTTCCAAACTTGGATTACTTCCAGAATAGGCGCGACGCTGCCGCTAACCGCGCGTTGTTCGGTGACCTTGGAGCCCTCGCGAATCTCTTCAGTGTGGTCGTCACCAGCATTCGTCTGCGTGCAACGAGAGTTAAATCACGACATGGTTTCGTTTTTATAATATAAATACACCGAAACGCAATTAAATAAAACAGATGGGAGACGATGTTACCTCGGTCGGCTCGTTGCAAATGACCGCGGTGTCTTCATCATTAGCCTCATCACGATCGATTGTGATGTTATATAAATCTCGCTTCGACGACAGTCCGATCTCGTTTGTCGAACTGTCTCCACTCGATGTGTTGCTCGTCAAATCGCCCGAGGAACACATCCCCTGCGGATACATCGCTCTTCAGTCTTACTTTCAGCAATATTCTCGCGTGAATTTCCTTCAAGGTCCAACCTGGTCGATCTCTCCTCCTCGTGCATCTTCTTCCCTTTCGTTTCTCACGCCGCTGCTCGTGCTTCCCATCTTCGTCATCTTCTCGAGGTACCACTCGTAGAGAGTCTGGTCTAACATCGCCATGTGGCCTAAGCAACAGCGTCGTTTTTAACCACCATACCGAATTACGCGAGAGACATACAAAATCAACTCACTGGAATTGCCGAGTGCCGCGTTAAATATCCGCTTCAGGGTATCTCTCAGGCTCTCAACGGAAGCGCTTCTTTGTCGCATCATTGACGAGGACTCGACGGGCTCGCGACAGTGTTTGTATGTATAATTATTTGTGTCTCGCGAGGAGATCTGTACGATGTGCATAAAGTACTACGAATTTAATCGAGATCCCAACTTAATGTTAATTTGACACCTTGCGCTTTTTGGTAACTTTCATATGTTTCTTTTTTCTTCGATGCATATACAGCATAACCGTTTTCTTTCGATTGGCTGTAAGCCAAGTAAAATAATCGTGGAGTGATTATTATATTATATGTGTATAGTCTCGATACATTTCATGTGCATACCGATACGCATATGTATATTAATACACGTGATACATGTAATAATAATAATAATAATTTATTCATAAATTATTCAATGAATATACAGATGACCGCGTTGACACGTTACCACGTGAGAATGTGAACGCCGAAGATACTTCTATATTTATGTACATATCTGTAGGTAGAATAGAGTTATGCATTTGTGTAAATTCGGTAGATCAAAGTCGTCGCGACATTGACGAAACGACAAACGCGCCATATTTAATGCATCCTACAAGATTAGAGTTGCCAGATGCCCTCTAGTAGCACACTTCATTGGCATGACATTGGTGTTACATTGGCTACGGTGACACAAATTGAGATTACAAATTGAGATTATTGGCCCAGTGTATCCCACTATACAGCCAATATTGGTTAGATATTAAATTACAATATATCGCCAATATTGCTTAGCATTGTTACACCAATATTGACTTATATTGGGGTTACATTGGCCAATATTGGGAGCCCAATTTGTAGCCAATATTGGTCCAACAATATGTGCTACTAAGGTGGCGTTGATTCCGGGATTATCTCGGAATTTGTTGAGGTTTATCCCGTGTTCTGGAAAATCAGAATTTCAAGAAAATTATAATCATAATATTCATGTTTTTAACTGGACTACTAGAAAGAAATGTGAGAGCAATCATTGGGATTTATAAGGTCGAAAAATTTGACGTGCAACCTGAGAAACCATTCGTATAAAAAGAAAAAAGGGTCAATCGTATTATTTATATCTAAACTTCTCTCTGCTGATATCTAATTCACACATTTATTCATTGCAAGTAAGCAACGACATACTCTTAACCGTTTTACCCTTCCATCTGTCAAATTTAACTAAAATTCTCTAACAACCTATTTTCCAACTTAAAAAATGTCCCGGAAATAGTCATTTTGTATCTGGCAACCCTATACAAGACACCGCATTCAGCAAACTGGAACAAGCACTGGCATGGTAGAAACCGAGCCGGCCTCTAGGACAAAGACTTAGCATTGACCTATTTATCTCACTAACATGCTATAATCTCACATATAGGGTGTCTAAAAAAAATTCAGGACTTTAAGGCAGATAATGTGGAGAAAAAGAAAATCCTAACAAACATGGGTCGAAGAGTTGTAATATCGTCGGAGTTGTGAACAATTGTTTATTTTAATTGTTTATTTTAAAGCAAGCGACTCGCTTCTGGCGCACGGCCATGTAATGTGAAATGCACTTCTGCCATTTCTTGATCCGAGTAATACGATGTCGTTCTTACTGTACTGTGAAAACTTTGTGATAGCTCTCGGCGATTGTTCTTCACTATTCATGAGGATATGCGACTAGCGATTGATAGAGTGAAGAAACTTTTTTTTAGGGAGATTTCTTTAACCCTCTCAAGACGATTCTTTTGTTTTTGAATTCTGATTGTTTTATTGAAATATTTATGTACAGAAGTGAGCATTAATCAATTTTTTATAAGGTTATAAACTAAATTACGAACGAAGATATCATTAATGTACGAGGTAGTACATTTTAATACTAAAAACATTCAACAAAAATTCACAAGGACAGTCTTTCTGAGACATTTGGTGGTACATGTATGTACCAATCAGCTTGAAAGGGTTAAAGCATGGTACTCTCCTCACCGATAAATAACAGACAAATTATCAGGCTGGCAAGAAAGTCATGTCGTTTTTTTTCTATGTAAATGAAAAGCGACTTTTCCACACAAAGCAAAAACTTTATTCTGTAATATATTGTCCGTTTAATTCAATGACCTTTTGCCATCTGTTTGGTAGCTTCATGATTCCGGCCTCATAAAACTCCTGATCCTTATCGGCGAGAAACTGATGTAAGTGCCGTTTGAGCCTCATCAGAACCGAATTTTTTTCCTTCAAGGAATTTTGCAAGGAACGAAATAAATGGTAACTTAATGATGCAAGGTCAGGCGAATATGGTGGGTGTGATAACACACCCGACCCAAGTTGCAACAACTTCTGACGGGTGACTAACGATGTATGTGGTCTGGCGTTGTCATGGTGAAAGATGATACCTTTATGATTCATCAATTCTGGGCGTTTCTGCTTGATTGCTTTGTGTAATTTGTCCAATTGACAACAGTAAAATTTCGAATCAATCGTTTGATTATGTTTAAGCAGTTCAAAAAAACACAATACCCTTGTAATTCCACCAAACAGAAAGCAAAAGCTTCCTTTGGTGAATGTCTGCTTTAGAAGTTTGTGGCTCATTATGTTTGCTCCACGATCTTTTTCGATCCACATTGTAAACAATCCATTTTCCATCGCCAGTTAACATTTGTCTTCGAATATTCGAATTTGACTTCGAATATTAATTTTAATTTTTAATATTAATATTATATGTATATATTAATATTAATATTTCGATTAATTAATTTTAATATTAATTTTTTTATTCACGTTTATTAGGGCTTTTCCATCATTCTGTGAGTACTATCCGCCCTTAAAGTCCTGAACCCTTTTTTTCAAACACCCTATATAGTCCTATTTTTGTTTGGGAAACACATGGAAGATAGATGAGATTATTTAAATATTATCTTCCTCGGCTCAAGATCATTGAACAATGGCAGCGCTCGTTCTAGTTTGTTCTACAGCTATTGCGACTGAGCGCATTTGCGTTGACGATGTTACTTAAGAGAGATAATTATATAAGAAATATGTATGAAATTGTAAAAGAAGGCACATACGTTATACAAATCAGCATATATCGAAGCGTGTTGGCATGTGACATAATTGATGCGGGTCAATGAGGTCATTCCTTTACTTCGCGCGACGATCGGCTTTTCGATTCGATTTTACCGGAATAAATGGGTCTCGATGGACTTTAATTTTTGCTTATCTTTTGCGGGAATTGTAACTGTATGTTGGAGGAAAAAGCGCGTTGGAGGAGAAATGCTCGTCTCTCTTCAGCCTCCAGTGTGATATAAAAGTCTCTCTTAGAACTTATATTTATATTTACTTAAACCGATATCATAGAGTTCATTTATAATTATATTCAATTATTACTATATATATATATATATATATTTACGAAATTAATATATACTAACTTACAGACATCTTTTCAAAAATTTTAATTCATCCGACCAATATTTCGATTAACGTTTAGATTATATATTGAATAAAAAATATATTCTTCGCTCATGAAGAAAGAAGGAAGCTTTAGACTTCGGAAGGTTGACAAATCTTGAGGAGGGTCAATTAAATAAGATCGTTGTCCGATCAATCGCTAATCAAGCGAGCCTTGCTTGCTTTCTTCATCTCCAAGAGAAGAACCTGATTTCAAAACCAATGGAGCGGACGTTGGCTCCTCTTCATCCACGCCACAGGTCCATCGACTTCGGAGTCGCTTTCTTTTATTCACAGAGTGTGTAATCAATCTGTCTGCGTACGTGTATGAGTTCGTCGCTTCTCAAGAAGCCGCGGGCGAACGTACCACCATACGTCTCCGTCGCCCGTCACTTGATCTTATTCCTGAGCCACTCTACGAATTCTGAAACGCGCGTGTACACGCCGGGATAGCCGGGCTCGCCGCACTTGTTACCGAACGAGACGATGCCGATCTGCGTCCATCGACCTTCGATTCTCAGCATCAACGGCCCGCCGGAGTCACCTTGGCAGGCGTCCTTGCCGCCTTGAGTGTAGCCGGCGCACAAGAAGTTGTTGGTGATCGACTGCTTGTAAACCGTGTTGCAGTCCTCGTTCCTCCACACCGGCAGGACAGTCTGTCGTTGAATCGTGCTCTCCTTCCCACCTGCGAGTTGTTGCATCGTTATATTTATCGCACATGCAGCGAATACGTATGCGCAGGAAGCAAGGCGGAAGAAGAGGAGGAGGGATGGGGTTTCTCGATGCAGGACCAGTCGCCGATCATGGCGATTAAAAGTTCCTGACTTCAGCTGACGAATTTGCAGGAGAAAACCCCCGGGGAAAAGTATTATTTATAAATTTATATGTATATAGGTAATATATATAATATATAAATGTAATAAATAATGAAAATAATGATAAACATGCATGAAAACAAAATAGACGACGCTTTCTCCTCGTCGACAAATGTCGGGTTTCAAACTGCTGCGGTTTCGAAACAAAATGACGTGGAATAATTTCTGAGAAAGTTCCTATTAGGCAAAAGCAAGTTTCAAGATGCTTTTGTGGATTCAAAAAATATAATTTCTCCATGAAACTATATGGAGGGCAAGTTGTTAAATTAGGAAATATTTTGTTCTTTAGAAGTTATTTTTTATGCGTTTCATCGAATTAAAGAAGCCATTGCAATCATAATAAAGATTAAAGTTTTTTTTAATACTTTTCTTAAGTCAGTTCTGCATTATTTTGCTTCGAAATTGCGGCAGTTTGAAACCTGATATTTTTCGATCAAAAACAAGCGTCCTCTAATTTGTGTTTTGTCAAGAGTGTATATAATATATTATTTATATACAAATTTATATAATTATATATACAGGGTATCCGGGATCTTTCGGAAACGAAAAATTATGAAGATTATTCAGATCAAATTGAAAAGAAAAGTCAAGTACCATTTTGCAAAAATCACAATAGTTATTAAGTTATTAATGATTGAAAAAGACCACATCTAGAGGCTCTTTTAATTAATAACTCGATAAATTATTTGTAAAATGATGATGAACTTTTTTGATCAGGATGACCTGGAGAATGATTTTTTGGAAATGAAAAATTGTGAAGATCTAATTGAGCAGAAAGTCAAATACTATTTTGCAAAAATCGCAATGGTTATTAAGTTATTGATGATTAAAAATGACCACATCTAGGAGCTTTTCTAGTTGATCAATGGACACTTTTTTTGTTCAGAATGCCCTGGAGAATGATTTTTGGAAACGAAAAATTGTGAAGATTAATCAGATCAAACTGATAAGAAAAATCAAGTACTATTCTGCAAAATCGCAATCGTTATTAAGCTATTAATGATATAATTGTAATTATTTCTGCCGCAAAGGCATCTCCTTCGAGTACGAAAATCAATTCTTACTTACGAAAGAAACGTCTCTTTGATTTATCAAAATTTGTATCTCGATACCCCCGAGAGTGAGAAAGACAAAAGATTGATTCTCGCTTTTCAAGAACGCTCGCTTACCTGTTGAAAAATCGACCTAAACACCTGTAGCGACTGTAACGAAGAGACAAGTTTTGCATCCTAATCTCATTTTCGAACGCGTCGTTGGCTCGAATGGTGCGACAGCCGACAGCAGAAATTCAAATCATTCAAAGGTCACTACCTCGCGATACGCGGTATTACCATAATAATTACCATAATAAGTGGTGCCCCAGCCGACCACCGTTGGCCTGGCGCCGATAAACAGTTCTCCGCGGAAGCGCGCCTGCGGCAGGCAAATCGGTATCACGTAGGGCGACTTTCTCACAGGCCTGTTGAGCTCGAGCACGGCGATGTCGTTGTAGAAACCGGGCCGCGAGAAGTTGGGGTGCACATGGATCTGCTTCACGGTGTAGGTCTCCGGCGACGACGGCTCGTCGTCCCTCTGCAAGTCGATGTCGCCGAGGCGCGCGGTGATCTGATGGAGCTCGTAGCTGCAACGCCGACGGATGTGTCGTTTTACACGAGGGGAATTCCCTTCTTTCTTGTCTCGCGTCCGTAAACGCTTCCGCGTGTCGTCACTTACAGTCGCTGGTCCGTATTGTGCGTGCAATGGGCGGCGGTGAGGATGTGGCGCGGCCCGATCAGCGTGCCGCCGCACCAGAACTCCCTCCGGCGGACATTCCACAGGAAGATCGCCGCCATCCAGGGCCAACGTCCGGGTAGAGCCGCGTCGCCGCCGACCACCCGGAACTTACCGGTATTGGTCACGCCGCATTCTAAACAGAGAGACCGACGTTTCTCGCATCAGGAGACGCTCCTCGCTTTCGTTTAGCTTCGCCTGTCGGCAAAAGCCCACGCGAGACAAAGCGTCGAAGGATCTTTCCCGATTGCATCTTTGTGACTCTTTGAAACTGGAACCACCGAGAACGCTCAAGAATGACCGGTTTGGAACTTTTTATAAAAAATTACTCAAATTGACCGGCATCACCGATGTGTTTTGTGTTTTAGACGTTGGATAAAACCGAGAGAAATACACAAACAATTTTGTCATTACATAATTAATCTTTTTTTTCCAAAACCGGTCTTTTTTCTTGACCGCTCCAACAGAGCTAGATCGTGTCAGGTAGTGTCGACACGTTGACTGCCATGCTGACTTTCGATGACCGTTTTGATGCGTAATCAAAATTTCAGATGACAAAGATATGATGAATGAATGTAATTTTTATGATGCGTACAGGGTGTAACATCAACATTACAGGTCAGTACGACGACGGGTTGCTTGCTGCCATTCGGATAATGCTGGGGTTACCGAAAAAGTCACTCGTTGATTTTGTCGATAATGACATTTGCACTGACTTTTTCGGCAATCTCTGCATTATCCGAATGGGAGTAGACAAATGCGCGTCGTACTGACTTATACGTTGATGTTACACCCTGTATATTCGTTAGCTCGTTCCATCAGCACCACGCTGGCTATGCACTTAATTTGTTACATGCGGTTGTTTATTTTTTATACATTATCCAGAGAGATACGGCGATATTATAGCGCCGGTCATCGATGACGCCTCCATGGCGATTTAATATTTAACGATGAACACCAGTGTTGGGCATTAATCGATTGAAAGCTATTTTAATTCGCAAAAATAATCGAGATTAACAGCGAGTAAATCGCGATTGCACATGATAATTTTTCCAATAAATTCATTCATTGATTGTACATTGATTAATAACAGATTTCATCAGTCGGTTAAATTTTATCCATGATCACATATAAAATTATTAATAACTTTCCATTATTGATTTATTATTTTAGTCAACCACATTTTTTAATTCTCTTTAATTTTTTCAATTTAATTTGATACAATTATAATTTAATTAGGTTCAATCAATTCGTTTGGGATTTTATTCATAATTACATATATGAAAATTGATTAATTTTAATTACTGACCTACTGATTTTATTTTAGATCAAATTCCCCAAACTTGCTCTTTAATTTTGAGATTCTAATTTAATGATTTAGACTTAGGAATTCTAATCTAATTTAATGGTGATTCAATTGATTTTAATCAATTTGTTTTCAATTAGTTTGTTTAAAATTTTTCAACTAATACCCATCACTGTTGATCACCCGGATAAACAGTAAAAAACGTCCTGAGAAAACTTGTTCCGAGAGAGTTAATGAACGCTATTCGTTCATTAACTCTCGTTTTGATTGACAGCCAACGTGTTAACGCGTTGAATGTAAGTATCGAGTATACCCTCGTTGTCTTGGATGTAGTTATCAACTGTGCTGATCGCCTCGAAACCATTGGTACTGTTGCCAAAGAAATCCGGCGACGGTACCACCTGCGTGGGTCTTCTCGTCGTGGACGTCACCGGGTGCAACGGAATCGGCCGTGGCGTCGGGACCTTCGTGGGTCGGACTGGCGGGCGCGGAGGATATTCGCTTCCGAATGTCTCGCTTCCGGGCGATGCGCCTCCGCCGATGTAGCTGCAACGTTCCCCCGGCCAATTGAGTCTCCCTCGCACGACAAACGCGATATTTCCGACGGAGACGGGACGAATTCGACGGGGCACTTACACGGGAAGGGGTGAGGGGTGAGGGCCGGTCTTATCTGCGGGGCAGCAAACCCCTGGCAAGATGAGACTCTTGAAGCACAGCGATTGCCTCAGCTTGGTGAGGTCGAGCAACAGGTACGGGCAGTTACTGAGATCCTGGCACTTCCCAGGCCTACCCTCGACTGTGGTGCATACGACCGAAGCGGAATCCTTGTCTCTGTCTGCGAGCTCCACCGAGCTGGGCTGTTGCTGTTGCTGTTGTTGCTGCTGAATCGGCGCTTGTGTGGACGTGGCCGTTTGTCTCAGCGGTAACGCTACGCGCACCAAAGGTGCTATGCTGTCCGTTACGTTGCGACCTGAAGAGGAATAGGGTGGGCGGTGAACAGACATGGACACAAATCGGTATTCAGTGATTTACTCGAAAGTTTAATGCTTTAACAAAGGTTATTTAATCAAAACGAAAATTTTTAAGTGAAAAGGCAATTTTATTTGCCTCTGTTCACAGCATGGTTTTATAGTATTTTTGAAAAAGAAATAGATACTTTCTTTGAGCACATGATAATATGCCTTTTTAGGAAATTCGTGACAAGCATGTTTTAAGGTTATTATAAAAAAAAATATTCTTGATAATAGTCTTCGAAGATAACCATTAAACGAAGAAAAGGAAACCGAGTGATCAGTGTCACCGAGTGTTTTCTTAGCAGCAGAATTGTATTTTTTCTGTGTGTGGACGTTGGATTTTTTTCTCTTCAAGGTCGACGCAAAATATTTGTTAAGTTTACCAGATAAAACCCATACAGCACAGAGGTTGCAGCATCGTTGTCGCAATATTGCTGCAACATTGCAACATTGCTACAACATTGCAACATTGTTGCAACATTGCAGCAGTGTTGCTGCAACTTCTGTGTTGTATCAGAACGCAGAAAACAAGATTATCCAATCTCGAAGGATTAATAATTTTTAGAAATGAGACAAACAACATAACGACTTTTAATATTTTTTCACTTACCAAGGAAATCATATTTTCCTTTCATAGTTTTGAAGATTATTTTTCTCAAAAATTGATGTACTTAAACAAAATAATGAACGAATATTTCAATCAAAATATTTTTCTTCGTTTCCTACAACTTTTTCTCATCTTCCTGGCAAGAGATGGGTTCCACGACGATAAAAAGATCCTTTTTTGGGGTTGATCCAATTTTCAATAAATATTAACACGTATTAACACGATTTTTACTACGTTCTATCGTTAGTAAATTACTAAATATAAATTAATATTAAAGCATCAAGAAATAAACTGTGATTGGAATGTCTTCGACAAAACTGACATCAGTGCTACCTCTTGCAAAATCCTCAAAACTGAGGATTCACACTCCTAATAATATCCAAACAAATCCTGCAAAAGAATTTAATAGAAGAGTTATAAATCTCCATCAAGCATATACCACCGAATTTTACAGCAACTTGATATACAAGAATGAATCGAAAGACACGTCGAATAGTCATGTACCTAGGATGTTTTTAGAGATGGTGTACAACGCCGAGGGCAACTCCTTCGGCGGATAATCCGAGATCTCGACGCCCCGCGTCATGTTGACAATGTAGTTGCCTACAGTGTTCAATGCGCCCAAGGTCTCGCTGATGGTCACCAAAGGGTCGCTCTGTTTTTGCTCGACCTTGACCAGTTGCACGTAGGGTCGCACTTGCGTGTCCCTGCGATATATCGGCCTGTCCGATCGGTTCGGCCCGCTACCCCAGGACCATCCTCTCGACGGCGTGACGTACGAGTTTCTATATCCGTACGCTGCGCGATATTGTCTCGTGTGAATGTAAAACAGGTAGAGTGCTCTCTTAATCCATTAAGGCCCATCCTTAGACCAGTAAAGATATGAAGAAAGTAACTATTGGATTTCTGGCATGGGTCCTAACCCGTGATCATTGGTGTTTCAAACTCGTTGAAAAAAAATTTTTTTAACAAATCGTTGTAAAGAAATAAAGGAAAACTTATTTTTCTTAATTTGTTTACAACAATCTGGGTAAAGAAATTTTTTTCAACTAATTTGAAGCACCAATAATCATTGCTAGGATCCATGCCCGAGACCCAATAGTTACTTTTTTCATATCTTTATTGGTCTAAAGATGCTTAGGGGTTAAGAGGCCTTAATGGGTTAATACTAGTGCTCGTTACCACGCTTTATCTAAGAAACTCTCTTCACGGATCACTTTGTATTCCTTTTTGTAAAACTGGCTTACTTTGCTTACGTAAACTTGGGAAAGAAATTATCAAAAAGGAAAGATAAAAAAATTATAGCCGTCGCATATATGCGACGCTGGTAGCGAATATATTAAAAAAGTTTTACTGATAAACTACTGACATACTTTTGCAAGACTTACATCGTATTGGTATTACAAAATTGCGAATGCGTTTTTACATAATAATGAAGTAAGCAAAAATGAACTGGAGCGTTTTATTCAGTTTGTGACGAAAACGACAAAACATTTCAAAATTAACATCTCGAGCTGTCAATTGGTGTGTAAATACTTGCCTGATATAAAAATTCTGTACCTTGTACGTATTGTGTCTTTGATTCGCTTAGGAAAATTTCAAAGAATATTGCTATACTTTTATAATTGAATATATGAATTAAAAGTATACGAAAAGTTTGAAGTTGAACAAACATATTGTCTATATATAGTAAACAAAGCAGCACACCTACACACACTTAAGATTGTAATTTAATTGTGTGATGTATATACAGTGTGTACCAGAAAGATGAATACTCCAGATTAACTTGACGTTTTTGAAAAAAATGTTAAATACAAAAATTTTATGGTTTGGAAATGGGCATCTAATGGCGAACTTGAACTTGACCAAAGGATCAAATTTAGAGATCAAATCAAGGTCCACTTTAAAATTATACTTGTTGACTTTTGAAAGTTTCAAAATAATCAAGTTAACAAAAATTGCGGCACTATTGTAACAGCATATTTTTGTGACCAAATAGAATAAAAAAGTCTAATATCACTTTTTCTTTCGACAAATAGTTACCGAGATATCGCAAGCTAAATACTGAAAAGGTTACCAAGTTTCCCTTAAATATCTCGAAAAATATTAAGTAAATAAAAAAATGTTTCAAATAAAAGTTACTCCAATTAGCAGAAAAAGATGGTATAATAAAAAAAGGGAAGTTTTCATTTAAGATCTTAAAGTTGACCTTGAGGTTTCCTTCGTAACCGCTCTCAAGGTCAAATAAGTATCGCCATTTGATACATTTGTTAAAACCCTACAATTTTTGTTTGAAATATTTTTGTCTGCCGCGCTCAGTTCCCGAGGTATTCGATCTGTTGCGTTTGAAATTTAACACCCTGTATATCGATATTTTTGCAGCTTATTATTCATTTTAGCATCCCCTTAAGCAGAATGAAAATTTTTGAACAAATTTTTCTTTGAAAAATTTTAAGATGGGAAAAGAAGGAAAAGTGTTGGCAATTATTTGGATAAATTATTCATAGATTCGCGAGATTTCGCGTTGCACATAGTTGGATTAGTCTTTTTCTTATGTAGCAGGTGTTTTCTTATGTAGTTTATGGTGCGTTATCGTGTTTCCGTCGGAACGAAAGCTACTTACGGTAAGTGCGGTAATGCACGACCTCCTCGGTGTACGAGATGTAGCCGGGGAATTGGCTCCATATTATGCACAAACCTGAAACGCGAATATATTATTATGTGAGTGATAGGCGTCTCGCACAAACGTCGCGCGATTTTCCAGAGTTGTGTTTACAATACACCGTCGGTCAACGGAACTGTCAGCTGCAGCGGTGCGAAAGCTCATATGTCTTTCCGAGCTTCCGTCACGCTGCACAATTTTTATTATTTTACATTTCTCTATATTTCTTATTTATACAGTCTCTATTCTTATGCGTAGTCAACTTTATCTATCGTGTTGTACACAAAGGGATATACAGAATGTATAAAAAGTGTCGGGACGGCGAAATATCTGGGAAATTAAGCATTTTAGGAAAAAAAATGTTTCAGACAAAAGTTATTAAAATTAATCGATAGAAAAAGATGATATAATAAAAAATTGAGATTTTCATTTTAAAAAAGTAATGATCAGTGAATATCTCGAAAGTGGCGCCAAACTGTAAACAAAATGATATAGTTGTTTTATGTTCTCCTTGAAACCATACAACTTTTTTCTGAAACATTTTTTTCTAAAATGCTTAGTTTTCGAGTTATTTCGTCGTCTTGATACTTTTTACACACCCTGTATGTTTCCGTCGAATAAATAAATAAATAAATAAATAAATTTATAATTCTCTTGCAATGTCACGTGAGCTGATCATCTCTCTTCGTAACATCAACAATTTTCATAAAGCAGATTAAGTCTAATTTAACTAACTTTGCTAAAAATTAATTCTAGTCAAAAATAATCGCACAAAGATGTTGACAGTTGTTGTGAATATCCTTTGCGCGAGGATAATTGTGTCGACGATGTACCGCATCAGGCGACAGGCATCTTTTTAGGGTATTTTTTTTCAAACAATTCTTTTTTAGAATAAATCCTGATTGATCCAACCGACGATATTAAATGGCTTCTATTGTTAACTTCTATTTCATTTGTCGTCTATTACAATGACCAAAAGATCAAGCATTTCCGTGTGTGTCAGCAAAATAGAGCCCGAATGTCTAAGGGCCTTATAATATCGGATGAATGCGAAAGTTTGAAGGGATTTTCAAAGATGTGGCAAAGATCCAGTTTTTCACGGCAGTATTTATAAATATACTTATAAATGTACGACGCTCAATCGTTGGATAACAGAAAACAAAAGCGAGCACTCGGTGGGATGAGTAAATCGTTGTTGACAAAGACGTGATGTGGATTTCCACCACGGAATCTATCGGGACTTTTGCACTCACTCAGCTGCGAGTTCCATTGAAATTGATAAATTAGCGCAGCGTAAGAGCGAGACTGCGTTGACGAGGCAGCTACCAACAAACAAGCGCATCGGCACTTCCGTTTTCTCGCGTCGACATCGCGCCGCTCTCGGGAAAATTGAAAGTGACATCATTTCGAGGCGAGTGTGCTCGTTCGGCCGTCGCAGATGCATGAAAATGTTCCCGATGATTACGACACCTCGTGTCACGCTGGGGAATACCGTGGGCACGCACGTAACGCGACACACGTGGCGCGAGCAAGGGCGCGTGCAGTGTTACGTAAGGTGAAAGATGCGGGGTCATGGACCTCAGGACTTTCCAAAGTCTTTCTGGACTCCCATCGAAATCTCAAACACGGATATCGGGCCGCGAATCCTGCGTCATCTGGTCTACGACGGTGGGTCAAGGCGGCAGGAGGAACCTCGATGGTAATGAGCCGCGTGCGTTCGCGGGAATGCGAGACTTTCTAAAATAAAAGGAAAAGAGACGGTCGCGCCAGGTACGAGCCAGGTTCGTCCGCTTGTTCTACACAAAATTGAAGCTGCACACGGAGAAACGTCAGTTCGCGGGACTGATCGGGACCAGGGACGAGAGATATTCATTTCAGTGTTCATCCGCTGTTACACGTCGCCAGCGAAGAAATTCGTCTGAAAGTTCAGCTTCTGTTGTAGCTGAATGTTTAGACGAATTTAAAAATTGAAATCAGACTCACAAATTGAGGGGAGCTAAAACTGAAATTTGGAACGTGGAGGTGGCTGAAAATAAAAATCCGATGCAGCTTCTTATGCAGCTAAATGTTCAAACAGGATAATCTAAGAAATACAATTTACAAATTGAAACAGAGAGAGGGGAGAGGGAGAGAAAAATTAAAATTGAAATTTAAAACGAAAATTTTAAATTTTAAATGGAATTAATTGAAAACAATCAGTTGATCAGAAACAGAGATATTTCTACAACCGCGACTCCTGAACTGATATGTAATGATTCCGAACAAATGAATCCTAAAGAATTAGTTGATTTTAAAGAATTAATGAATCCTAAAGAATTAATTGATTTCAAAGAATCAATGAGTCCTAAAGAATTAATTGATTTAAAATTAACGGACGAAGCGACAAGTATACTATATATTATAAAAGCACAAAAGGAAATCGTGTTCGTAATAGTATAACTTTATTATAACAATCCATATTTTAATAATAGCAATTATTAATATCACATTTATGATGTTGCAAGAGAGTGAAGGTTCCCAGTAAGCATTAACCGACCATAACATAATAGCAATGTTATAATTTTCCCATTCAGCAGTGTAACTGTTATAAAATATACATGTTATATCGCATTGTTGAGTGACAAGTTACAATATTAATGTTATATTATTGTTAGTTGGTGTTTATTGGGTTACTGCGATTATCTCGTGTATATTTTATACTACAGTTATCGTTTACGGACCTGATATTTATTGCTACATTAAATGTATTAAATTAAAGTAAAAATATTAAATTGTTACAAGAAGCAAAAATATTAATTAATTCTAAAATATGCATAATTTTGCTTCATCAATATAAATTTGATGGCAAATAATACCAGAAAACCCCGTTCAAACTGGGTAATATGTTCTTTGACATCAATTTGTTCTCTTCGTTTGAATGTAACATTATCAATTTTTGGTATGGTTAAAGGTATGGTTAATAAAGTTATAAATGCGATATATATTAATGATTGTTATTATTAAAATATTATTAAAATTGACGAACGACGAAGGGAAATTCGCTGACAGCGAGAGTGCTGATCGTCCGTAGTTTCAATTGACACATTGATTGCCACGCCGCTTTTCACTAATCGTTTCAATGCTAATCGAAGTTGGGATCGCCAAATGTGTGATAAATAAATGCTATTCACGTGACGCACATATTTGCTAACTCGTTTCACATCGACTTCCTCTATCGGCTTTCTCTCTCTATATATTTATTAATATATATCTCTATTTATCTATTAATTTAATTATATATGCGTTTTATAATTTATATGCTATACGCAGTTGATTATGTATGATTCGTACATAAATTCCTGAGATGCGGCGATATTCTAACTGATTGTCATGGCAATCAACACCTTAATCTAAATTCTCAATCAGAATCTAATCTATCGTTTATCGAGAGCCTCGACATCGCGATATTTGCCACGATTATCTCGGCCGCATTTCGCCCGTCGTTGCTTGTGTTAATTGAATGAAATTAAGCCGAGCGCGACGAGCACTCGTTAAATCTCCCGGAACCGTCGCGAAGAACGATGTTAATTCGCCTCGAGAGGAATTCTTCCCTCCCTCTCTCTCTCTCTCTCTCTCTTTTTCATTTCTTTGGCGAAGCGATTCTCCGGTTCCGCAGCAGGTTCCGGTTTCTAAACTGGATTCGGATTTGCCAGCGTGACGCGAGTACATTCCTTGTCGCCTCTAATTGACCGCAGAAATAACAGTCGTCGGTCGTGATTAGACAAGTCGAAAGGGAGACGCGGTCGCGTGACCCGATTGCGCAGATCGCTCGTCGGAGGAACCGCGACATGGTTGAGATGTGCACATCACGTACACACACGGAAAAGAACATGTTGTAGTCAAGTAAACAGATGTTACTCGTTTCAAGTATTTCATAAGTTTACATATTTAGTAGTGTGATCGTGGCACCCTCGCCGTCAGCGAATTTTCTCCCGTTGTTCGTCAATCGCGCAAAAAAAGACAATTCCGTTGGGGTAATTGAATTTTCCGTTTCGACAACTCGAATAAGAAAGGAAAGAATAGGGACCACAAACGGCAAAATTAATTGCAAAGACAGAAATATAAGATGTCTCGTTTTAAATGAGCCAGGCCAGCTATTTAGTCTCGAGAATATATTGTTACAATATATAAAGTAGCGCCCTTTAGTAGTAATTTTTGTTAACTTATCGACCTTTGGAAATTTCAAAATCATCAAATCAACAAAAGTCAGTGCGCTATCGTAACGATATATTCTCGAGACTAAATAAAGTAAAAAAGTCTAGTACCAACTTTTCTTCCGACAAATAGTTAGCGAGGTATCGTAAGTTAAATGAAGGTTACCAAGGAAGGGGTTACCAAGTTTTCCTTAAATATCTCAAAAAATAATAGGCAAGTAAAAAAATGTTTCAAACAAAAGTTATTCAAATTAATTGGTAGAAAAAGATGATATAATAAAAAATTGGGATTTCCATTTAAGAAAAGTAATGAGCAACAAATATCTCAAGAATGGCGCCATCTGTAAACAAAATCATATATAGTTGTTTTATGTTCCCTTTGAAACCATATAACTTTTGTTTGAAACGTTTCTTAATATCTTTTATATTTTTCAAGATTTTTGCCTAGCTCATTTAAAATAGGACACCCTATATATGTAGGTCTTAATTAGAATATAATACTCACAAATCTGTCTTAGAACAAGAGTCTGGGCAAGAGTCTCATTATAAGTATCAAATTTACTCAAAATCCAGTCTGAGTCCTAATAAATTTAGTACTTCAATCCAGAATATGAAGTTAAAACAAAAATCAAGTTCGCTTTTTCTATATAGATTATACATTTTATAATATCCTTGAAGAAGGAAGAAATTTTTTCGTATCGAATGCGATAATGAGCTTTCCTAAAATTTGTCACGTGAGTAGATTCTAAGAGATCATTAGCAAAAAATATCTCTCATTGAAGACAAGCACTTACTTAAGAAACGAATCTCGCGACCGACGAATTTCAGGACCGTCCGAGCTTG